CCAATCATTAACCTTCCAACCCGCCTTTTACCCTTTTTACCCCCCCCCCCCCCCTCTGCTTTTTCACAATCTTGGTCGAAATTCAGATTTTTGCCATATTTCTTTTCCTCAAATGCTTGAGATGGTACTGTACTGACTGATAACCTTCTCGTGTCCTTTTTGAACCGAACAGATTACAACCCTTCTCAGTGTCTTTTATCTGAAAGGTGACGAAAGTCGCGTTTGATTTAGTGTACCATGAATTTGATGTAGTATCTCAGATGAGGCCGGTAAACACTCGACAAAATGCTCGTAAAAAATCACACAGAGCCTACAAATATTTTTATGGGGCTTAATGTGTCACCTTGGCATTGTCGATTTTTACTGGCCTCTTCGTGTAAGGCGGAGGAGTCATTGCCGTTGCTCTCAGCTGGAGTGGCGGTCGTAGCCTGCAGTGACAAGACAAAGCTGAGACATTGATGGTCTGTCCAGCGGAAGCCCCATTGTATGGGAATGTTATAGGTTTTGTTCTTTCTGACAGTCTGTTGACCTTAGTTTAAGAAAGCTCTCTGGGCAAAACCCAGGGCACAAGTGTTTGACTGAACTGACCAATGTGGATCCCCAAAGGATCTGTATATCTGGGAACAGAGTGAAAATATCACAAAGTGAAAGCCTCAGGATTTGAAATCCACCCTCCAAATAATGAAAGACTGTTTGGATTGACAGAAAGCCAGTGAAATTTGCTCATACTAGCGGTTGAAGGTCATATTTGCTATTTTTGAATTTCAGAGTTTTTGAGTTTCTGTCTTATAAACAGGGTGTGTTATGATCTTAAATGAGATGTACTTAATTTATTGGAAATTTCATACAGAAAGAATGGTGATAAGGTAACCTTAATCCAAAATATAGTGCAAATAAGTTGAAGATAATGTACAGTGAAGTAATTATTTTCTTAAAATAAGTCTTGACCAGGTGATCAGAGCCATGAAGTGTAAATACCTGGACATAAAATGTTGATTTAAGTTTTAATTATTGAACAATCCATCCATTATTCTCCAAACTGCTTATCCTTTGTAGGATTGCAGGGATGCTGGATATTATCCCACCGTCTTGGGCCGCAGACGAGGAATTATCTTGTGTGGATGGTCAGTTTGTCACATATTATTTTATACAAAATTCTAGCATGAAACTCAAGATGGCGCAGTCCTATAGGTCTAACTCAATCTGACACCTTGTCTACACTGGACACGAGCGACGCAGCAAAATACTATATGACATATTGACAAAATTTTTTAATTATTTTCAACGGTCGCTTTGTCGTGTCCAGTGTAGACAGACTTTAGCTGTTGCAGCACAGCACGGCGCGACACAACAACTGCCGCGTCTGGTGTAGACACGGTGTGACATAATGCTCAACATTCTAATATATTTGACTAGTGCTTGCTGTAGCAGTTACAGCGTGCTTCAGAAACCCTCCACCTTCCCCAGCTCCATCTGTATGGATCTGCTACGGGGTGATTCATGTATGCCATATGTGGGTTATTTCATGTATATGTGCAGCAGCAGTATTTCTTACATGCTCACAGCAGCATGTTGGGGATGTTTTGGCAGTAGCAAGTCTCAGTATTTGCTCTACCGCAGCAGTAGCAGCATAGTAGATCTATTCCACCAAGACCAAACACATTAACGTTGTCATGTACATTACCATGCCAATCCCTCAGAGAATTGTCATGACAGAAATAATTTTACCATTACAACATATAAAACAATCGGCCTAGTATCAAGAAAGATGCTGCAACAATACTCATTTTCACTACAACTGATATGGCGGCAGTTACATTTGTTTGAAATATGAGCGAATGAGTCCATGGTGTGATAAGAGAGACATGAAAGTAGCACCGGATTTGTGCCAAATTATTGAGGGTGCTACGTGATTGGTCTGTATCTTTAAAGCTCACACCTAACCCTAAACCTAAGCTGTGCCTGAAATCACCCATTATACCCTTATATATATAATATTGCATTATTTAAAGGGACAGCCATTTGTAGTGGTGCCATAGTGGATGTATTCAGTCCCATAATGCATATGTGTTCACCTGATATACACTCAAAGGCTGGAGAAGACCCATAACGCTCTGTGAGGATTATAGCGAACAGTGAAGGTGTAAAGTGTGAGACATTTGCGAAATTTCACAGGCATATTGTCAACAGTGTAGTGATGAATTGAAGTTCACACAGAAGTTCGTCACAATTGGTCGGTGTGGCGAATTCGGATGAACTACTGCAAAATCTGCATGGAGAAATCTTTTACCCTCATGTAAAATTCCTGATCATATGGATTATTATTAACTCTCCAAACATAGGAAAGTGTGACCGTACCTTAAGTACCTTTTTAATTGATTGGGAGGGGTTTAATTAAGGTTTATACAAGCTAGTCAAATTTTAAGATTAGAAGTTGCTAGTTAGCTAAGTGTCAAAAACGGCAGCCATTTTATGGTGCATTTAGTATCTGAATTTGTCACTTGTTTTTAGTCGCTCCTTAAAGTGGTGTATACGTATATTTGTAGACTAACATAGGGAGTTGTGAATGAGGGTATAGAGAAAGATTTCGGACACAGCCCTAAACATACTGCACTGAATGGTCAGGAATAAGGTATATCACCTGTTTCACGTACCCAGAAAGCAATGCCAGAGTCGTAATAAAGAATGGTATAAACAATAAGCATAAATTCAAGGCCCACGCTTTAGGAACAGGCAGATAATAAAGGGTAGAGGAGTTGTGTTCTACATTAAGTTAGGGGTTAACTATGTAGTTAGGGTTAATGTAATTGCATTGATTTGAATGGACTACAATTGCAACGCAGCATTCTCTGTTAGCCACTGTGCAATTATTTAAGCAGTGCAGACTTAATTATCTGTGCTTGCACCAGAGTCACCTCCTAATTACTAACAATTTGTGCCTTATGTAGTAATTATTTACCCCAGAAACATCTCGCTCTAATTATAATTAAGGATGAGCAGTATATATTTATTCTCTCTTAAGCCTACTTTATGTAGTGGTATATTAATGAGCTGTTGAAAAGGCTCTCTCTTGCTCTTTATTTTTGAATTGGAGCGATGTACCTTATGATAGATTCACATACTGCTGCTTGGCAACCATCTGATTTCAGAAAGTAGGATTGTGTGACAACTTCTAATGAAAGTTTACCGCATTTCCTCCCACAAAGTGAAGCAGTCTAGAGTGCAAATAGAAAAGGCGAGCAGGTTGAATGCAAGTTTGTGAATATTTAAATGGTGTGTTTCTAGTGTATGAGCAAGATCTCATATGCTATTTTTAATGGAGAAATCTGTTTGCATGTCGTTGTAGGAAATACTCAATTTTAGGAAAACTAATTTTAGGACTGTCAAAGTTAAAGGATTAGTTCACCCAAAACTATTAATTTGTTGAAAATGTACTCGCCCTCAGGCCATCTTAGATGAATATAGAGACAATATAAATAAAAAAAAAACTTCAAAATGTTGCTTCAGGCTAAAATATGAGTTCTCTATCCAAAATATTGCTTTCTTCAGTGAACTTGTCCAAAACAGGAGAGAAATATACATTTTAATGGAGAAATCTGTTTGCATGTCGTTGTAGGAAATACTCAATTTTAGGAAAACTAATTTTAGGACTGTCAAAGTTAAAGGATTAGTTCACCCAAAACTGTTAATTTGTTGAAAATGTACTTGCCCTCAGGCCATCT